GGATCAGCGCAGTGCACCAGCCAGGGCAGCCATTGGAGGGTGAACCAATGGCAAAAAGGAAGACCTTTCTCTCTGTCTCTCTCTCTCACTGTCCACTCTGCCTGTCAAAAAAATAAAATAAAAAAAAAATGTAGAATGTAACAAACCTATAACCCCCCAAATTACTAAAAGGCTAGCATGACTCTTAATGGATTTTTGTAGAAGAAACACCCATGTCCCCCTACCCAAGTTGAGACTGTGTCAGCATTCCAGAAGTCACCACGGTGACGTGACCCTAACTAGTCACGGCTCCTCCCCCTCCTTAATTGCAATCACTGTCTTGACTGTTACACTGACTAATTCATCAATTTCCTTTATGGTTTTGCTACATAGTTATGTGTTCCCAAACTATGTAGTGTGATTTTGCTGATTTGTGTTGTATGTAAACAGAAAAATATTGAATATACTCTGTTATGTCTTATTTTCTCAGCTTAATACCTAAGACTCAACCATGTAGTTTCCAAAAATTCATTGCTGGATAGTAATTTTCTGAATGAAGACGCTGTGATTTCATTCTGCTATTAATGAACTTTTGGATTATTTACAGATTTTAACTACTGTGAACAATTTTGCAATAAGTGTTTGTGAACCTGTGTGGTGTCAAATATGAACATACAAATACATGAATATAAAAATATTTACCTAGGTGTAGAATTACTGGATATGGGAGACTCTTTCAAAAATATCTTAATAGGAATTTCAAGTATACCTAACAGTAAAGAAAAATTCACCAGGGCTGGCGCTGTGGTGCAGCGCGTGAAAATCCTGGCTTTAAGCGCCGGCATCCCATATGGGCACCGGTTTTAGTCCCGGCTGCTCCACTTCCAATCCAGCTCTCTGCTATGGCCTGGGAAAACAGTAGAAGATGGCCCACGTCCTTGGGCCCTTGCACCAGCGTGGGAGATCCAGAAGAAGCTCCTGGCTCCTGGCTTCGGATAGGCCCAGCACCAGCCATTGCAGCCATCTGGGGAGTGAACCATCGGATGGAAGACCTCTCTCTCTGTCTCTACCTCTCTCTGTAACTCTGACTTTTAAATAAATAAAATAAATCTGAAAAAAAAAAAGAAAAATTCACCACCTTCAAAAATTGCATTTTGCCAATCTTATTTAATTTAGCCGCTTCTTTCTTTCTTCTACTCTGAAATGTTTTAAAGAAAATTTCAGGAATTCTATTATAAGTCACTTCAGTCTGTATCAATATCAGATAAGCGTTTAAAAAAGAAACAACAGCCATTAAGGTGGACCTTTGTCACTGGTTCCAATCCCTCTGGGACACCTGCCTCCTCTGAGTGCCAGCTCAGCTCCCAAGTCCAGCTTCCTGCCAGCGTGCGCCCTGGGAGGTGGCAGTGACGGCTCCAGGAGTTGGGTCCTTGCTCCCAGTACAGGAGACTAAGATTGAGCTCCAGGTTCTGGGCTTCATCCTGGCTCAGTCCCAGATGCTGTGGGCATTTGGGGTGTGAACAAATGGATGGAAGCTCTCTTTCTACCTTTCACGTAAAATGGAAATAAATTTTAAAAAACATAAACAGTAGCCACAACAACACTATCACATCAAACGAAGAACAGTGATTCTTTAATTGGATTGAGGCTTCTTAGCTAATCTAATCAGGCTTCCAGAGAGGCACCAAGAAAAGTCTTCCTGAGGCTTAGCAACTGGCTTATAGCTCCAGCAATAGTTAAGAACAGGGAGATCGGCTAATTACATACTGTCTTCCAATCTATCCCTCAGACAAGTCCTCATACCTACAAAAGGGCGCTGTTGGTAACTTCAAAAGATTAAGTCCGAGTGTTAGCAAGGGGGCCACTGGCACGAGTCCTGGAGTCCCAAGGCCAGCATCAGATGTCCACTGAGTCTACCTGGCTCAGCTCTGGGAACCAGGGATCAGGGCACCTCCCACAGTTCCTCCCTCCAGGCCCCGGCTGGGAGATGGTGCCTGCCTGCCTACGGGCAAGGTCTCCCCACCAAGTTCATCCAGACTCATGCTGCTCTCATTGGGAAACACCTTCACAGACATGTCCAGTGTTTTTCCAGGCTCCTAGTTACTCTTTGATACACTTAAGAGGAGGGACTGGCATTGCGGCATAGCTGGTAAAGCCACCGCCTGCAATGCCAGCATTCCATGCGGGCACTGGTTCGAGTCCCAGATGCTGCTCTTCTGATCCAGCTCCCTGCTAATGCACCTGGGAGATAAAGTGAAAGGCGGCCCAAAGTGCCTGAGCCCCTGCCACCCAAGTGGGAGAATCGGATGAAGCTCCTGGCTCCTGGCTTCCCTGTCTCTCTGTAACTCTGGCTTTCAAAATAAACAAATAAATTTTTAAAACTACAACTAGGGCCGGCGCCGCGGCTCACTAGGCTAATCCTCCGCCTAGCGGCGCCGGCACACCGGGTTCTAGTCCCGGTCGGGGCGCCGGATTCTGTCCTGGTTGCCCCTCTTCCAGGCCAGCCCTCTGCTGTGGCCAGGGAGTGCAGTGGAGGATGGCCCAGGTGCTTGGGCCCTGCACCCCATGGGAGACCAGGAAAAGCACCTGGCTCCTGGCTCCTGCCATCGGATCAGCGCGGTGCGCCGGCCGCAGCGCGCCGGCCGCGGCAGCCATTGGAGGGTGAACCAACGGCAAAGGAAGACCTTTCTCTCTCTCTCTCTCTCTCACTGTCCACTCTGTCTGTCAAAAAAAAAAAAAAAAAAAAACTACAACTAGTTGGTACCACAAACTTAACCATCAAATAATCCCATGGAGAAAAAAATAGTCTTTTCAACCAGTGGTCATGGAACAACCGGATATCCATGTGCAATAGAAGTGAACGAAGAAACAGACCTCACCCGCTTGTCCACGGAAACAATCAGGGTCTGGCAGGAGAATCAAAGCTGCAGTTTCTACAGTGAGTCACACTGAAGATTAAAGCCATAAGCAAGTAGCCAGCTGGCTGAGTCGGCTGTTCCACAAGCCAGAATGTGTTACAGGTTTAATACGTTTCCTTTTTTTTTTTTTACAGGCAGAGTGGACAGTGAGAGAGAGAGACAGAGAGAAAGGTCTTCCTTTTTGCGGTTGGTTCACCCTCCAATGGCCGCTGCGGCTGGTGTGCTGCAGCCGGCGCACCGCGCTGATCCGATGGCAGGAGCCAGGAGCTTCTCCTGGTCTCCCATGGGGTGCAGGGCCCAAGCACCTGGGCCATCCTCCACTGCACTCCCTGGCCACAGCAGAGAGCTGGCCTGGAAGAGGGGCAACCGGGACAGAATCTGGCGCCCCAACCGGGGCTAGAACCCGGTGTGCCGGCGCCGCAAGGCGGAGGATTAGCCTAGTGAGCCGTGACACCGGCCAGGTTTAATACGTTTCTTATGGACAGATGCTGAATCAGAATTAAACACGATTTATGTGTGGTTATCTGTCCTACTGAAAATTAAGGAACCCCTGGTGATAATGAACAGACCTGATTATTGATTACAGGAGGGTGCACTGCCTCCCCGCATTCAGTGTTGCCTGCGTGCAGGGAGAGGGGAACTCTGGGCTTACTCATCCTTCCTTTAACAGCCCTCAGACACAACGCTTGCATCTTAAAGCTCAGTGGGTGTTTCCTGGGGTCCAGCTGAGGTCCCTTGGAGGATCCTGTTACCTGGGAACTAGCTCCAGGGCGTCCTCACTGACCCAGGTGCCTGCAGTCACTATTCCATTCCCAAGTCCACACCCTTCACAGAATAAACTCTAAATGGATCACAGAATGCTTTCTCCCTAAGGTCGGAAGCTAGTGTGGTTATCACTGCTGCTGCTCTTTGTTTTAGCTGAGGTCCTAGAGTCGTAAGACAAGAAAAAGTAAAATACAGAAATATTGGAAAGGAAAAAAGCAACTGATCACACATCTAAATGCAAAACTATAAACTCCTAGAAGAAAATCTAAAGGATCTTGGATAACATTTTAGATGCACTTAAAAGCACGAGCCATGAAAGAGAGACTTGATAAGCTGGCCCTCACTGAAAATTAAATCTTTCAGCTGGAGCTGTGGCGTAGCAGGTTAAGCTGCCACTTGCAGTGCCGGCATCCCATATGGGTGCTGGTTTGAGTCCCGGCTGCTCCACTTCTGATCCAGCTCTCTGCTATGGCCTGGGAAAGCAGTAGAAGATGGCCCAAGTCCTTGGGCCCCTGCACCCACGAGGGAGACCTGGAAGAAGCTCCTGGCTCCTGGCTTCAGATCAGCTCAGCTCCAGGCCGTTGTGGCCAATTGAGAAGTGAACCAGAGGATGGAAGACTCTCTCTCTCTCTCACTCTCGCTCTTGCTCTCTGCATCTCCTTCTCTCTGTGTGTAATTCTGACTTTCAAATAAATAAATAAATCTTTTTAAAAAATGGGCCAAAGATCTTAGTACATCTCACCATAGAAGACAGGCAGATGGTAGAAAAGTCTATGAAGGTAAGCTTCATATCATGTACCATCAGTGAAGTACAAGTTAAAACAGTGAGGTGCCAGCATGCATATACCAGAGATGACCCAAACCCAGAACACTGACAATACCAGATGACAGCAAGCATACGGAGCACCTTAGTCATTGTTGATGAGGATAGAAAACCACAAAGCTACTTTGGAAGACAGCTTTGTGCTCTCTTAGCACTTAACATACTTTTTTTTTTTTTTGGACAGGCAGAGTGGACAGTGAGAGAGAGAGACAAAGGTCTTCCTTTTCCGTTGGTCCCCCCCCCCCATGGCCGCTGTGGCCGGCGCACCGCGCTGATCCAAAGGCAGGAGCCAGGTGCTTCTCCTGGTCTCCCATGAGGGTGCAGGGCCCAAGCACCTGGGCCATCCTCCACTGCACTCCCTGGCCACAGCAGAGAGCTGGCCTGGAAGAGGGGCAACTGGGACAGAATCTGGCACCCCGACCAGGACTAGAACCCGGTGTGCCGGCGCCGCAGGTGGAGGATTAGCCTAGTGAGCCGCGGCGCCGGCCATACTTAACATATAGTTCCACAGTCAAGTTTCCTGATGTTTACCCAAAGGAGTTGAAAGCTATGTTCACGCAAAAACCTGTACGTGGATGTTGATAGCAGCTGTATTTGTAATTATCAAAACCTGGCAGCAATGGAAATGCCCTTCAGTCAATGAATAAACAAAGTGTGGTCCAGTATCCAGTACTGGAAAGAACCGAGTGAAAGGTGTGGAGGAAACTTCAATGATATTAGTCTTTCAAATAAATAAAATAATGTTTAAAAATAGAGGTTTATTTATTATTTGAAAGTCAGAGTTACAGGGATAGAGAGGTCTTCCATTCGCTGGTTCACTCCCCAGTTGGCTGCAACGGCCTGAGCTGCGTCAATCCAAAGCCAGGAGCCAGGAGCTTCTTCCGGGACTCCCACACCGGTGCAGGGACCCGAGGACGTGGGCCATCTTCTATTGCTTTCCCAGGCCACAGCAGAGAGCTGGATCGGAAGTGGAGCAGCTGGGACTCGAACCAGCACCCATATGGGTGGGATGACAGCCCCAATAAATAAATCTCTAAGAAAATGTAATCCACATGGAATTTATAAATAATTTAAGCAGGGGAATAGGAATTTGCTGGACATGGTCTGTTATGGGAGGTGTAGGTAATTAGCCATTAAGGCTTTTCAGTTGATACGTAGGTGATACTGTTATTTACTGATTCACTAATCCAATAAATCATACATGTTTATGTATTTATTCAGTAAGCAGGTACTACCTTACACATCGATGATAGTGAATGATACAGACTACAGTCTCTACCTTCAGATCACATACATTATCTGAAAGAAATCATGTCAAGTTTTGTACGCAATAAATTTGATGGTTTGGGTGAAATGGTCAAATTCCATTAAAATTACTTTTTACCAAAGCTGAAAGAGGAGGAAAAAAAAAAAAAAACAGAAAGGTCACATAAAAGTTGTAACTAAAAGCCTTCCCAGAAAGAAAACCCAAGATCCAGTCGACTGAACTAGAGAATTGTATGAATATTTAAGATGTAACATCAGAGAGCAGACTCCGAGAACTCCCTTCCCAAACCCTTCTCAGAGATCACTATAAATTTGATGTAAAACCTGACGATGACATTCAAGGTAGGTACGTAGTAGAGTCATTTTTATGTAGACACAGAAACTCTGAAGAAATCCATTAAAACCAGTTTATAGGCCGGCGCCGCGGCTCACTAGGCTAATCCTCCGCCTAGCGGCGCCGGCACTCCGGGTTCTAGTCCCGGTCGGGGCGCCGGATTCTGTCCCGGTTGCCCCTCTTCCAGGCCAGCCCTCTGCTGTGGCCAGGGAGTGCAGTGGAGGATGGCCCAGGTGCTTGGGCCCTGCACCCCATGGGAGACCAGGAAAAGCACCTGGCTCCTGGCTTCTGCCATCGGATCAGCGCTGTGCGCCGATCGCAGCGCGCCGGCCACGGCGGCCATTGGAGGGTGAACCAACGGCAAAGGAAGACCTTTCTCTCTGTCTCTCTCTCTCACTGTCCACTCTGCCTGTCAAAAAAATAAAAAATAAAAAATAAAAAAAATAAATAAAAAAAACCAGTTTATAAGCACGTGAACTACATCACAACCATGAGTAGTTTGTTCCAGGAACATGAGGGTGCTTGAACACTCTAAAACTAGTCATTGTAATTTATGATGATGTACATAAAAAGAGTAAAATGGTATAATCCTTAAACAAATGTATTTGACAAAATCCAACATCCATTCATGATTTAAAAAAAAATAGAATAGAATCAAGGAAAACTTCCAGAGTCTGATTTTCTTTAAAAATTGCTACAAAACCCTGAATAGTTTACTTAATGGTGATAATAAAATAATAACTAACACAGTTTTTGCTGCTTATATACACTATCTTATCTAAGTCATAGAAATCCCATTATGCTTTCTCTTATGTCTGCTTAATCCAGGATCCGAGCTGAGCTCTGAAACCCAAAAATGACACCAGTGGTAGCACCATCGTCCATTTTGACCACCCAACCAGGGGGGCACAGAAGGGTTTTTCTAGACATTTTTCAACGTTCTCCAACACTTCAGCCACTCACACCTGAGTAACCCAGGGTGACTCACGACAAGATGAAGCTGGAACTAGGGTCAACTTGCAATGAGACAGAGCTCAAAAATGTGCCTGAGCCCCCTTCCTCACAGCACCTGTAACTCAGCCTCAGTAGAAGGTGAGGTGGAGTTGGCAGCTGTGTCATTTGCTGGGGCCGGGTCCTCACTCAGGGCCCTCTCCAGACTGGCGGGCAGGGAGTGGATGAGCCGCTCTCGGAAGTCCTGGCCCACGAAGACGTAGAGCATGGGGTTGAGGCAGCTGTTGAAGAAGGCCAGGGAGCTGGTTGGGTTAACCAGGACGTTGAGGATCTGGTACTTTCCAGCAAACAGCATCTCTTTGAGCCAGACCGTGCTCAGAAGGGCGATCAGTTGAAAGGGGAACCAGCAGATGAAGAAGGAAGCCACCACAGCAGTGAGGACCCGTAAGGGACGGCTGGATTTAATCATGCCTTTTTTGTGCATCCTTGCAGCAATGAGCCCGTAGCAGATAGCGACGATGGACATTGGCATACTGAAACCGATAACAAAGCGGATGATACCTCTGACCGTCAGTATGGTGGTGGCCACCGTCACTCTCTTTTCAAAGGTGTCACCCCAGGACTTAAAATTGAAAGTGCAGTATGTGTTCCCTTTCTCATCCTCAACTGTGGTCAAGAACATGAAGATTGGCAAGGTCAGGATTAGGGCAAGAATCCAGGGTCCAGCGATCATCTTCCTGGCTAGGTTTACAGTGCGGTGATTCTGAGCCCAGATTGGGTGCAACACACAGATGCAGCGGTCGAGGGCAATGAACGCTATCAGGAAGACGCTGCCAAACAAGTTTATGTCCACCACAATGTGAACCAGCTTGCACAGGAACAAGCCAAAAGGCCATTTTTCTCCCATGGCCATTGAGACGATGAGGAATGGTAGGGTAGCAGTGAAAGAGAAGTCAGCCAAGGCCAGGTTCAGGTAGCAGATGGTGGTGACTGTGTGTGCCATCCGGAACCCCGCCACCCAGATCACAAGCCCATTGCCCAGGATGCCCAGGACAAAGGTGACCCCAAGTACAATCAGCGGGAGGATCCGCAGAGCAGTGTAGCCGGCAGACTCATAGAGCATTTCTTCAGATCCATTCAGAGGGATGGAGATGTTGCTTTCCATCTTGCCCACACCTGAAACATTTAAACATTTATTGGTTGTGTAACCATCTTATAGAATTCCCACTCGTGCATCCACCATCAACCCTGTGGCCCGAGATACTATACAATTGGCAGTCTCTTCATTGTTCTTTTGGGAAGAACAGTTCTGTATATGCCCATAATTATTAAAGTGCATTCCACCTAGCCAGCTGATCACTTTACCAAGAGAATTCAAGGCTCCTTCCACCAGCAGAAAAACTGAACCGGCCGCATGGGCAGTGAGCATGGGAAGCTTTGGCAAAGTGAGGGAAGCACTAGACTCAGAGTCAGTAGGTCCAATTCTGTTTCTGCCCATGACTCACTGCAAAACTACTGGCCGTCTCTGCAACCTTTATTCAATGCCAGGTTCCCTCCCAGTCTCCTGGCTCCCGTTCCTCCTCACCGTGAGAACCCTTGATCTGTGATTTGGTTGGTGTTTTAGCTAAGTTTTCGGGTTTGGCTTGGGTTTTTAGTCGAAGAGACTCTTGGAAAGTGACTGTAATGAATAGTAATGTGTCACATCCTGTGCTACAGGAAGTCAGTAGAGAGGGAATCCTCTCTACTTTCAATCCAGTGTTCTCACTTCCCCCTGCGTGAATCAGAGTTCTTACCTTGAAGGCAGAGAACTTGTCCTTATTGTATAGTTCTAGTGTTCTGTGGGATTAAGAGTAGTAAAATTTGTTAATATTTGTGGGATTTATAGAGACCAGCATTGTGTTATTCCTACATGTGAGATCCTTTGCCCTGCATATCTCCTTAATGTTCATTATTTTATGCTTTAACAAGAATAAGTTGATGTTCCAAGTAATTATGAAATATGCCAGAAGCCAAGTAAGAAGTAGCAGAGGGAAGACTTCAACCCAACTTGGTCTAACTTCCAATGCTTCCTCCACTACACCAGTTGCAACAAATGTTGCTGGTTGCCCACTGCACATCTGTTCCCTCATTCCTGTCTGCCAACCAGATCACAATGTTTAATTCATTCATCCCTCAGGAAAGATGTCCTTTCTCTACCTTTGGAGTAAATCCTGCTTAGTCTATCCAGTAATTGGAGTTCCTTTGGTGATGGACACATAACTAAATTACGGATGAAAACACTATGGGAAGATGCTTGAGGGGGGAGATTCTGGGATGTATTTCCTTGCTCTGAAGAGCCCCTTCCTCTGGAGCAGGTCACACCTGTGGCTATTGCATCCAGTTCAGCTCAGGGGTCTCTATGACCCTCATGTCCATGCCACCAGACCACATTTCCTTTTACCGTGTTATATGGGCAACATCAGAAATATCTAGGGTGTCTATATTAAAATGCTTGTTCATAAGCCCCATTCTAGAATATTCTGCAGTGAAAGCAAGGATGGTTTTCTATGGCCATGAGAATTTAAGAATCACCTTAAACTATTCTTCCTCTTTAAAGGAAATAGTAATTCCTGGGCACATGTCCACAATTAATACTCAGAGTGATATTGTGAGACAGTCACCATCATCATCCTTCTCTTACCAGGAAAGCCATGGCCAGGGGTTTCAGTAGTTTCTCCAATATCATCTCCAGCCACTCAGTGGAAGCATCAAGCTTTGAAAGCCAGGCTTAACCAAGTCCAAGGCCACGGCTTCTGCTGCTCTAAGGTGCTTCCTTTGAAAAAGTCCTCCCAAGATTTCTTGAGGATGATCAGATACCAGAGTCATGATTTTATTCCCCCTCTCCCCTTCTCACTTCCTCCTTCACTTCCTGTCTTTACCCATCACTTTCGCTGAGGTCTTCTATGAAACACTGTTTCACATAAAGCAGGGTTTCTCAACATCGGCACTGTTAACATCTGTGGCTGGAAGATCCTTTGTTGTGGGCAGCTGTCCTACCCGTGCCTTGTAGCATGCATGTTCAGCAGCACCCCTGATGTTTGTCTTCTACATGCCAGTTAGGAAAACCGAAAGTGTTAGTACACATTGTCAAATGTGCCCCGGGTCTCCTACATGGGTGGCAGGGGTCCAAGCTCTTTGGCCATCTTCCACTGCCTTCCCAAGTGCATTAGCAGGGAGCTGGATTGGAAATTGAGTAACCAGGAATCTCCAACATGGGATGCTGGCATTGCAAGCGGTGGCTTAACCCTCTGTACCCCAATGCTGGCCCCAGTGACATCTCTCTGAGCCTCAGTTTCCTCCTCTGCAGAAGGGAGGCACTGTGAAGACCGACTTTCAGGGAAAAAGTAAATGAGGACGGGGGGAAATCTTCCAGGATAGACCACAGGCGTATCTAGCAAACAGGGACACTGGGTCTTCACCGGGTTCTGTGCTATGTCTTGGGGCTCCATGCTTGGCCATGCATGTAGAAGCACAAGGACGGGCCAAGAACAGTGCTCACGACCACAGTAACCACCACTGATGAATATTGTGCACCTGCCAAGAGCTGCTCTTTTAACCCTCACAACAACTCGTCCCACAGGCTCTTGTCAAGTGCATGCATTTGACATGCATACTCTGAGACATTGCCCATACTGAATAGTGTTAACTAGCTAGCATAACCATTGCATAGATGAGGAAGTTGGGCCGTACCCTTGCTACGTGCATTGTTTAAATTCCCCAGATGGAAAGAAGTAGAGCCCGAATCTGCGCTCTGACCGGTGTCTCCCAACCCCTGTTACCTCAACAGGCCCAGGTTGTCTCTACCTACCCACCAGACATCCTACAAGGCACTCAGAAGCTAAACCACCAATGTTAAAATGTCCATATAGAAAGGAAAGACAATGATAGGTGCACAACAGGTAGGGACAGGCAAGGAGGCAAATTATCAGGTTACCCCAGCTGCATGGTGGGAGCCACATCTGATGTCTGCACTGCCTATGAGGGCCACTGTTTGGTGAAACCCCGATGTGTGCCAGCCACTGTGCAGTTTGTCGTCTCTACTTACAACACCCTTGCTCTGGGACAAGTATCGTTGTGGTGTGACACAAGAGGAAACTGTGGCTCAGAGGAGGGAAATTACTTAGCTGATGTCACAATTGTTGAAGGGTGCAATTGAATACAGGACCACAGATTTCAAACGAAAGCTCAGTGCTTCCTTGCTAGCTCATTCTACTCCTCCAGCGTATCCGCTTTCTCATCTTCACAGCTGTGAAACAATCTGACATCCTCTATTGCTGCAGCTCCCAGCCACCGCTCTGGACTGATTCCGTAACAAGGAAATGGTAACAAGTAGACCTCTCAGCCTTTTCCTTCATAATCCCTCAAACCAATGGCCTCTTTTCAGTTCTCCATCCCAGTGACATAGGACCCATTAGACTTCTATTCCTTCCTTTAAAAAGCAATTTAAATTTATTTGAAAGGCTGAGTGACAGAGAGAGAGAGGGAGGGAGAGAGAGAGATTCATTCCCTAAAACAATGATCAGGGCTGGGCCAGGAGCCTGGAACTCCATCCATGTCTCCCTCATGGGTGGCAAGGGTCCAAGTACAAAGGCCATTGTCTTCTGGCCTCCTGGGCATCTTAGCAGGGAGCCAGACCACAAGAGAGCAGCTGGGACTTGCACAGGCACTCCTGTGGGGGATGCCAGTGTGTCAGGCCACAGCGTGACATACTTTGCCACACTGCGGGCCCCTCTTCCTCCCACTTAAGACACATTTTATGCCTCAAGATGGTAAAATATATACAATGCATTCCTGGTTGTCTTTAAAGCTCAGTCATCTACCCCTCTTTTCAGTCTGATTTGCTAGATTTGTCTCCCTAAATTTGAATCTAAATTCTGGGATGTCCCAGGACTGGTACCTGCTCCACCTCCTCACCCTCTCTGGTCTTTCTCTACCATGCTGTATCAGGGATTAAAACATTGTAACTCTCAATCTAAATCCTCAGCCTCAGCCACTCCCCAAAACCTTGGCCTAAATAATCAACTGACTTCTCAAACATCTTCCCAAGGAGTCCTAACATTGCCCAAGCCAGACTCTTGAATGGCCCATCCTCTCAGACCTACCACTCCATCAGTGTCCAGAAACAGCTGGGAGCTCAAACATTCCGTGGTTAAAGCTCCAAATCTAGGCCCCACCTTGGACTTCCATGTTCCTTACCATTCAAACCCAACCCAAACCCTCCCAGGTCCATTTCTAGGATAAGTTGAATGCCAGAATCACCACCCTGGCCCCTAGCCTGTGCCTGGCCTGTGCCTTTAACCTTGCAAATAGCTTTTTTTTCCCCTGGCACCTGCTGTCCCCTAGAGAGAAGCCAAAGGATGAAGGAGACCAGGACGCTGTCCTGTGAACACCCTCCACAACCTTCTACCCTCTTCACTTTCCAGACACACCTGCACCTGCCCTGCTGACCCTTCAGGCCTCCCAGGTCCACTCTTGGTGCTGTTCTCGGTCCACCTGGTGGCCTCTGGGTCCTTGGCCAGGCAAGCTCATTGCCGCTCCTCTTCTTAAGTTTCCCCCACCTGGCTCGTTCTGAATTTTCATATTTCAACTTCAATATTGCAGACCGCACAGAGGTCCAGCTTGGTCCACAATGCAAAACAAAGCAGTTGTGCCAGGCCCCGTCTATCTCACCAGTTTATGTTCCTGTTTAATCAATCCGTTCACGCATTTGTTCCCCATCCTGAACACCCTCCACACTAGGACGTAAGCTCCAACAAGACTACCCGTTTTCTCTGAGTCGCACCGTCCAATAGAACCGTCACACATGCCACATGTGACACTCAGAACGTTCGAGTACCCATGTTTCTGAAAACGTTTTTAGATTCTGGGGAGACCGGTTTCCATAACACATTTTATTTAACTCAACATATCATAAAAGGACACCATTGGAACCTTTAACCAAAATGCAAATCATTCGTGAGCTCATTTACATCTTTTCCTACTAAGCCTCCGAGTCTATGAAGTGTGTGTCACACTCCCAGCACACTCCGGATCCCACTGGAAACTTGGCCAGAGCTCAGGAGCTGTCCACGGCGAGTGGACCCCATGTGTGGCGGCCCTGCCCAAGCATACAGGAGGTGTCTGCCACATAATCAATGCTTGAGGATTTTCTAAGCTGTCAGGACCTCCCCCCCACCAGCACTCACCACAGGCTGAAATCCTTTTCCTGTGCTGGTGTCTGGCTTCCTGTGGAGCAACTCAGACCTGGGCACTTCTGCAGGGACTTTAATGAGGGGGGAGGGCCCGCGGAGCTGGGAGGGGCAACAGAGCTGGAACGAATCAGGTCACAGAAGCCCAGGGCTTCTAGCAATGTCCAGAGGCTCTGGACTCTTCTTACAGTGTGGCCGGCCGCTCCTCACCACCAGGCTTCCGTGGCAGATGGGAGTTTCCATCCTCTAAAAGTTAAGGGTCGTGGAATCTGCGTGCCTAGACCCTTCCTCCTTCAGAGATTTGGGAACATGAAAAAACAGTGACAGTGACAGAGAAGAATTGGTGGCAAGCCGGGAGAGACAGATGGCGGTCAAAGAAAATCCTGTTTTCTCTATGTATACACAATACTTCTGACACCAAGCAGTTTTTTAATTCTCTACAGACGCCAACTGGGTGGTCCCTACCCTGTTCAGAGTCTAGGGGAGAGGAAACAGACCCTATCTCTTAATGGGAGGAGTCTTGAGGAATTCTGGGTCCTTTTTCTTTTTAAAATGGTTTTACTTATTTATTTGAAAGGTGGAGCTACAGACAGAAAGAGGGACAGACAGTCAGAGAGAGGTCTTCCATCCACTGGTTCGCTCCCCAGATGGCTACAACAGCCAGAGCTGGCTGAACTGAAGCCAGGAGCCAGGAGCTTCTTCCAGGTCTCCAATGCGGGTGCAGGAGCCCAAGGACTCGGGCCATCTTCTACTGCTTTCCCAGGCCACAGCAGAAAGCTGGATGGGAAGAGGAGCAGCCAGGACTTGAGCCGGCGCCCATCTGGGATGCTGGCAATACAGATGGAGGCATAGCCTACTACACTGCAGCACTGGCCAGGACCATTCTCTTTAAAACCACATCACCAAGGCGACTGGGTAGATTTGGGCTCACTGGTGAGAAGGAACCCCAGAGGGGGAGCTGAGTGTTAGTTGTGTAGGGCTTTCAGACACAGCGCCATAAACTGGGTGGCTTACCTCACAGACATGCGGCTCACCACGGTTCTGCAGGCTGGAAGTTCCAGGTCAAGGGGTCAACAGGGCTGATCTCCTCGAAGGCCTCTCTCCTTGGCCACCTTCGGAGGTGACCGCCTTCTCACAGCGTCCTCACGGGGTCTTGTCTCTTTTCACGTCTGTGTCCTACTTGCCAAAGCTTTTCGTTCACATGAAACACTCTTACAATATTTCAACTTAATCTCCTATTCTTATAAGAACACCCATCGTATTGGGTTTAAGCCCACACTAATCATTTCATTAAAAAACATTTATTTATTGGAAAGGCAGAGCGATGGAGAGAGAAGAATCAAATCCTCCAACTGCTGGTTCATTCCCAGAGGCCAGCTCAGACACTTCCGCTACTGAAAATCAGGGGTTCCCCGACCACTCCCCGGCCAGCCCCGTGCCACTTCCCTCTGGGCTTTACCCAGATCAGGCAACAGGGTTTGCAGGACTGGAAGGTCTGGGGCCTTCCTCCTTTTCTCCAGCCTCGTCACGTTGGGCTACACACAATTGCCTCTGTCCACGTTTGCAAATCCTTGGTGACTCAGGGGACATCTGCAAGCAAAACCAAAACCTGCTCGTGCCTTGGTAGCGGGGGCTTGTGGGAAGCATGCGGGGTCGTCCCGAGGAGCCCAGTTTCAAGGAGAACAGGCAGATCAAGGGCTCAGAAGGTGTTCAGACAAGCTCCCTGTGGCGTCCCCTGTCTCTTATGCGCAGGGTATATGTGAAAAGTAAATAAGTTTAGTGTTAAAACTTGGTTCTTATCCCCCAAGATCATTAGGTATACACAAATATTCCACGATCTAATAAAATCCAAAACCTGAGACACTTCCCGTCCCGAGCATTTCAGGTAAGAGTTACTCAGCCTCTGTTGCTCACCTCCAAAATCCTTGCACAGTAAAACCAAAAATGTGGTCCTTGGTTTAATCCACTGCTCTGTGCCGTTGCGAATGTCTTATCACTACAAATACCCAAACCGAAACCTTGGGAAGAGTGGTTTTGGATGAAGAGTGTTTTTGGATTATCGTCCTCTGTCTCTGTCTTCCTTGGCTTCTCTATGTCACTCTGATACTCTTGGGCAATTCTTTTTTGTTTGTTTGTTTTGTGTTTTAAAGATTCATTTTATTTATTTGAAAGAGAGTTACAGAGAGAGGCAGAGAGAGAGAGAGAGAGGTCTTCCGTCCGCTGGTTTACTCCCCAGATGGCCACAACAGCTAGAACTGCGCCGATCTGAAGCCAGGAGCCAGGAGCCAGGAGCTTCTTCCAGGTCTCCCACATGGGTGCAGGGGCCCAAGGACTTGGGCCATCTTCTACTGCTTTCCCAGGCCATAGCGGAGAGCTGGATTGGAAGAGGAGCAGCCGGGACTCAAACCGGAGCCCATATGGGATGCCAGCGCTTCAGGCCAGGGTTTTAACCTGCTGCGCCACCGTGCTGACCCCTTGGGCGATTCTTACAGTCACCTAAGACTGCCTGGGTCAGAAACCTACAGGTGCGCTTGCCCAGGGGCAGAGGATTATGGGATTTACCTTGACGGTGGCAGCTGGGTGGAGAACATGCCTGTCTTGGCTGGTTGTCTCAGGTTCTCTGCCTCTCTTACCTTGCTCTGTGGTTCTGGCTTCTCTCTCTCTCTCTCTCTCTCTCTCTCTCTCTCTCTCTCTCCCTCTCTCTCATCTCTCCCTTTCAGTCCTTACTGCTGAGTCTTCCCAGCTCAGTACCTGCTCCTCCCTTTATCCTGATTCCTTGAGAACAGAGGCACCTGGACTCCCAAATTCCCGCAACCTTGATCTTGACAGTCATCCCACAGACCACTGAGCTGAGGGAAGTAATCCCCCCCTTCAAACCCTGTTCAAACAGGTGCCAAATTGGTGCCTTCCTGGGGCCTTTGCGTATCAGAAGGAACCCTGATATTCTGTTTCCTCTTACGCAATGATTTCAGTTCCTCTCCCCCTCCCCCTCCCCCTCCTGTCCCTTCCTCTCCCCCTCCCCTACTGTGTCTTCTCCTGAGACTATTAGAGCCACAGTCACTCTCCCAGGAGACCAGGACTTAGAACCACTCAGAGCGAGGACCACAGCTGGTGGCACGGCCAGGTGAGACACTGATATGCCAGGGTGCTGGGGAGCTGGACACGGGCACACGCCGCGGACTCCTGGGGAGAGCTGATTGTTTGGAGGGAGCCGCAGGGAACAGCAAGGCAGAGAACCGTGTGCAGAAAATGTCAACGACTCTTGCAGGATGCGCTTTTGGGCGGGAGAGCTGGGGAAGTGGTTGGAGGCTGAAGGAGGATATGGAAACAAAGGACAGATTTGGAGATGAGAGGTTCTGGACCGTGCTGGGTGCTTCTGAGAACGACGGAGCAGGGAGCAGATGGTGATGCCGCAGGAGGGTGGGGAGACCGGGAAGGAAGGAAACTGTTGAGAAAATGAGGGAGTGGAGTCCGGAGGACAAAGTGGAGGGTAGGTCCCGGGCAGGGTTCTGTGGTTTGTTGTCTTAGAGGTAAAAGCAGAACACGGCGGTCCAGGGGGAGGCGAGACGGTGTGGCTAGGACATCAGTTGGGAGTGGGGGTAGGAGGGGAGGTGGGAACTTTGAGAAGGCAGAAGGAAAGTGTGCTAAGAACGCAGCAGCCCCCAGGGCTCTGCACGAGGACCCGGATCCTGGGCAGTCCACGGAGCTGTCACTGTCACGGAGCTGTGCGCTCTCTGCATGTGACTTCCCCTGTCAAAGCCAGGGCTGCTCCTTCCCCACAGTGGTGGTGGTGATCTTGACTCAATACCAAGATTGTGGAGAGCAGAGACAGGAAAGGCGAGGTTGTGGGACGGTGACTCGTAGCAGAAGGGTTCTACAAACAGGGGCCACCAAGGTGCGTGTTCTTTGCAAATGACAGCCGTATCTCACAGCTTTTCCCACAGGTCAGCCATTGAAAACCCCTTCCTATTCACTGCACCGACCTTTTCAAGTGGTTGCCTCGGCAGTTGGGTGGGGACTGGGAAGTGGGGAAGGAGGACCTCTCCAAGTTGTTTGGGAGACTGTGGGGTATCAAGGAGCAGCAGAAGTACAAACCGCTTATGCAAATGTGGTTTTTAAATGTTCTTGATTTAATTAGGAGCCAGAGACAGAGCGAGGGCATGCTCCCACCTGTGCATCACTCCTCAAATGTCTACAGCAGCTGTGACTGGGCTGGGCTGAGATGGGAGCCAGAGACTCAGTCCAGGGGCTCCACACGGCGGGCAAAGACCCAAGCATTTGAGCCGTCTGCTGTCTCCCAGGGACTGCACCGACAACAGTCTGGAGTCAGGGAACACAGCCAGTACTTGAACCCAGGCCCTGTGCTGTGGGACGGCGGCCTCTTAACAACTAGGCTACATGCTTGCCCTACATGTATAACCTGAAGTTGTCTAGAGGCGGTTTTTTAAAAAAGGAAAAAATGCAATTAGTTTTAGTATAATATTTTTAAATATTTATTTATTTATTTGAAAGGCAGAGTTACACAGAGAGAGGAGGAGAGGCAGAGAGAGAGAGATCTTCCATCTGCTGGTTCACTCCCCAATGGGCTGCAATGGCCGGAGCTGCACCAATCCAAAGCCAGGAGCCAGGAGCTTCTTCAGGTCTCCCACATGGGTGCGGGGTCCAAAGACTTGGGCCACCTTCTGCTGCTTTCCAAGGCTGTAGCAGGGAGAGGGATCAGAATTGGAGCAGCCGGAACTCGAACCTGCACCCATATGGTATGCCGGCACTGCAGGCAGAGGCTTAGCCCACTGAGCCACAGCACCGGCCCCCATCCACCATTCTTAAAAAGAAACTCTGGTAAAATGCACAGAACACAGAATTGAGCATTTTAGCCATTCGGTGGTGTTAGGCACATGTACCATGTTTTGTAGCCGTAATGCTATGTAGTCCCAGAATTATCCTCACCCCAGCTAGAAAGTCCATATCCACTCAGCAACACCGCCCAGCCCCTGGCGACCACTGCGCTGCCTTCTGCCTCTATGTGTCTGCCTATTTCTGACATTTCATAGAAATGTGTGTAGCTCTTTCTGTGTTTTGTTTTGTATAATGTTTTCACAGTCCATCCATGTCACGGCATGTGTCAGTGCTGTATCCCTTGCAATATTCCAAGGTATGGATGCCCTGTATTGTGCATCTGTTGATGGAAAATTGGGTTGCTTGC